GGGGGGGGGTATTGGGGATTAAACTTAGGGGCATTTTACCACTGAGCCACATCCCCCACCCTACTCTATATTTTATTTAGAGACAGGGTCTCACTGAGTTGCTCAGCACCTCATTAAGTTGCTGACGCTGACTTTGAATTTGCCATTCTCCTGAGCCTCCTGAGCCGCTGGAATTACAGGCATGTACCATAGTGGCTTATTAGTACAGATTTCTAAATGGTCCGCCCTAACAACCCACTCTGTCTCTCTGGAATGAATATATATTTTTTAATTTTTTTTATTTATTTATTTTTACATAGTGCTGAACACAGTGCCTCACACATGCTAGGCAAGCACTCTACCACTGAGCTATAATCCCAGCCCCCTTTTTCTGTATTTAGAGACAGGTTCTCACTAAGTTACTTAGATCCTCGCTAAATTGCTGAAGCTGGCTTTGAACTCACAATCCTCCTGCCTGAGCCTCCCAAGCCACTAGAATTACAGGTATATACCACTGAACTTGGCTTCCTATGGTTTCTAGTAGAATTTAGTTCCTTGTTGGACAGAGACCTTCAGGTCCTCACTGACTTTTGGCCAAGACTTTTTTCAATTCCTTGCCATGTGGGCCTCTCCTTGGCGCAGCTCACAACAAGGAAGCTGATTTCCATCAGAAGGATCAAATGAAAAAGCCTTCAAAACAAGCCAGAGGGCTGGGATGTAGTTCAGTGGCAAAGCGTCTGCCTTGCATTCACAAAGCCCTGGGTTTGACCCCAAGTAAAAAAAAAAAAAAAAAAACCAAAACAAGCAAAAACCCTGCTAGGATGCTGGCTGGAATTACTTTGGATTTATAGACCCATCTGAGTAGAAATGGCCTTTGATAACATCGAGTCTTTGCACCCATGAACATGGTATTTCTCTCCATTTATTTAGAGCTTCTTAAACATACTTCAATAAACTTTTAGACTGTCTCCACGAAAGTCCTATGTGTATTTTTTAAAAAAAGATTCATCTGGGGCTGGGTTTGTGGCTCAGTGGTCGAACGCTTGACTGGCACGTGTGTGGCCCTGGGTTCGATCCTCAGCACCACATAAAAATAAACAAAGTAAAAACTCCATTTAAAAAGAAAAGATTCATCTGTAAGTGTTGATGGTGGAAACATGTGTGTGGTCTTAAAAATCCATTGTCCCCTTCTTCCTGGGCCCAGGGGTAGACTGTGTTTCCCAACTTCTTTCATGAGCATAAATGAGATGGCCCTTTTCCCTCAGAATCCTTTAAGAGTGCATGTGGCACCAGGTACAGTGGCACACGCCTATAATCCCAGTGACTCGGGAGGCCGAGGCAGGAGGGTTGCAAGCACAAGGCCAGCCTAAGCAACTTAGCAAGGCTGTAAACAACTCAGTGAGACACTGTCTCAGGATAATAAAAAACAAAGGGCTGGGGATGAGGCTCAGTGGTAAAGTGGCCCTGGGTTCCATCCCCCCAAAGCAGATGTGCCTCTTCTACCAGAGAGCACCTGGATGTGGTGGCCTCACCACGCTCAGGCAGAGTCGGCAAGTCCCTAAGGGGTAAGAAGAGACCTTGGTCTCCAAATCAGTCCACAGAGGAGTAGCCTGCTGTCTTGTCACATCCTCCAGCTTGTCCTTTCCTCCCTAGACAGCTGACGTGAAAAGACGGAGAAGTAAAACCAAGTGCACATGTTTACAGCTGTGGAAACAGAGACAATATTCATGGAGGATGCATCCACTTTTCTAGACCTGGTGGTTTGGAAGCACGAGCTCATGGAGCAGCAAGTGCAATGACTGAGAGGAGCAGGATGAGGTGGAAAGGGGGGGCCCACGCTGTGGATGGCCATGAACTCACACTCTGTGGTATAATGGAAGTCACTGGAGATTTTCACACTGTCTAATAAGACGAAGACACAGCCTGCCCTTCATCAGGACCACTGCAATGCTGACCATTCTTACCCGGCATGCTCAGCCGACAGACACATGCCGAATCGTTTGGTGCCAGTTTCCATACATCTTCTTATCATAAGCCGATAGCGGGGCTCAAAGACATGGAGCGGGCAGGGGACCGTGGGGAAGGCCATGGCACACACAAAGATGGGCACGTCCCTGGTCAGACTGCAGAGCAAGGGGAAATGTGAAGTTAGATGTGCGGGCTGTCAGAAAGACCAGGGTGGACTGGTCACCAAAACAGCACTCGATCCTGATCCTCTCATCTTGAAAACAAACCCTTCAGTGTTAAGTGGGAAACAGAAGCCACAGTGCACAGCGTGAGAAAGTTCTCTGCTCATCCAGTGTCCTGCCAAGTCTGGCTTATTTAACTGATGAGAGATAACATGACGCGTTAGTATGACTTTATTTGGAAAATAGAGTTAAAGCTTTTGACTACTCCAAAAAAATACTAATCAGCAGGCACGGTGGCGCACGCCTGTAATCCCAGAAGCTGAGGCAAGAGGATTACAAGTTCAAGGACAGCCTCATAAACTCAGTGAGGCCCTAAGCAACTTAGTGAGACTCTGTCTGAAAATCAAAATAAAAAGTGCTGGGGATGTGGCTCAGTGGTGAAGCACCCCTGGGTTCAAGTCCAAGTTTAAAAAATTAAAATAAAATTCAGGGGGGCACAGTAGCACATGCCTGTAATCCCAGTGGCTCAAGAGGCTGAGGCAGGAGGACCATGAGCTCAAAGTCAGCCTCAGCAACTTAGCAAGGCTCTAAGCAACTCATTGAGACCCTGTCTTTAAATAAGTATAAAAAGGGCTGGGGATGTGGCTCAGTGGTTAAGTGGTTCAATTCACAGTACCAAAAAAAATAAAAAAAAAAAAATCTAATCAAAGCAAAAGCTAGATAGTAGTCAAAAGCAATGAGTTTTAAATAGGAGGGTGTAAGAATGGTAAGATCTTTACTATCTTCTTGTTCTATGAACTTTGTCTTTTCAGTTTGGAAAAATTCACTGTCATACTTCTTTAGATACAAAGCAACTACATAATTTCGTATTACAGAATTACTACAATATTTTGTATTACTACATAATTTTTCTTATAATTCCTTGCAATATATTTCCACAAATATTTTGCAATTAGCATCTGTCCCATTTATAGACCAAGAAGCTTCTCCGCCACAAACCAACCAACCAACCAACCAACCAACCAGAATCCAAGGCAAAGCGGAGAGTAGCAAGCATTTTTTTTCTTTAATCTGAATTTAAAAGCAAGTAGATCTAGCATGAGTACTTACTGTGATAGTTCCAACATTTCTTCATCATAAATCCTCTTCCTATCCGTCAATTCATCTGATAAATATTGGAATATTAATTCTTCAGCCAGAATAGTTATATTAAAATTTCTGCTTGCCAACAACTGTAGGGAAAAAAGTTAAATGATGCCAAATATTAATTAATTCTAGAGGACTAAACCATCCATGTCTGAAGGTCAGGGGGGAAGGGGAAGGACAGAGTCTCTGGGAAGACAGAAAGGACACTGGGTCAGCCTGTGACACGGCAGAGATAGCCTCTCCATGTGGGTATAGGACAGGAATAGGCAGACTACAGGAAGACGGAGGCACCTCCAATTCTGACGGCATCTACACTGTCAATCAAATACCACGTCCGTGAGAAAAAAGGAAGAGGAGGGTGATACGTTGGGGAAAGAAAAATATGAAATAAGCATCATCTTGGAAAATGAAAAACGGAAGTTACTTGAGAAAAATATTAGGAACGTCTCCTCATGTTCTGAATCCAGATGAAGACTGAGAATTTCACCTCTGTTTTAGTCCGCCTTTCCCTGCTGTGACTCAAGGATCTGACCAGGACAACTGTAAACGGGACAAGTTTACTTGAGGGCTCCTGGTTTCAGAGGTCTTAGTCCACAGAAGGCCGGCTCCGTTCCTCAGGGCTCGAGGGGACGCAGAGCATCAAGGTGGGAGAGTGTGGCAGAGGGAAGCAGCTCACATCAGGGAGCCGAGAAGCTCCACTCTCCAGACACAAATATATGCCCACA